GGGATGGGGAAAGGGATGTGATGGGGATGGTAATGGGGATGAAGATGAGGATGATGGGACAGGGATGGGGAGAAGGATGTGTTGGGGATGGAAACAGGGCTGAGGATGATGGGATTGAACGAGGATGAGGAAAAGACTGTGTTGGGCTGAGGATGGAAATGGGGCTGATGATGGCGGTGGGGAACAAGGATACATCAGGGACAGAAACAGGGCCAAGGACAAGGACAAAGTAACGAACGGGCACAAGGCTGGCTCGGCTCCGTGTCCCACCCCAGCCCTCCATTCCCGTGGCGTGCCCAGGTTCGAGGCAGAGCTGGCCATCCGCCTGTCGGTGGACAGCGACATCGCCGGGCTGCGCAAGGTCCTGGACGACACCAACATGACGCGGCTGCAGCTCGAGGGGGACATCGAGGCCCTGCGCGAGGAGCTGATCCTGCTGCGCAAGGACCACGACCAGGTGGGTCCAGAGGACTTGGGGGGCTCGGGAGGGGCTGTGGGACCCCAGACTGACCCGTGCTTCCTCCAGGAAGTGCAGGACCTGCGGGCGCAGGCCTCGCAGTCGGCGCTGACGGTAGAGGTGGACGCTCCGCAGTCGCAGGATTTAGGGAAGGTCCTGGGAGAGCTGCGGGCTCAGTATGATGCCCTGGCCCAGAAAAATTTGGAGGACCTGGAGAAGCAGTGGGGGCAGCAGGTAAGGAACCCTAAAAATCCTCAAATCTCACCCAAAACCAGCTCCAAAACGATCCCGGGGGAGCAGTGGACTTGGAGCACCTGGAGAAGCAGAGGGGGTGGGAGTTGGAGACCCCAAACCCCCACCAGTCCACATCCGAGGGTCCCCAATGACGCTCCATAAGGTGTCCCCAATGGGGGGCCACAAAAAAGGGGAAACCCCTTTTGGGGGGTGTCCCCAGGCTAGCATGGGAGGTCCGCAAAGAAGCCCCACAAAGCCAGGGGGAGGAGGGGTGGCAGACCCAGGGGGGGCCTGGGTGGACACTTGTGACATTTTCAAGGGGAGTCCTGGGGTGAACTGCTCCAGGAGGTTCCTGGTCCAACCCTGGTGACACTTTTGGGATGGCCTCTGTCCAAGGTGCAAGTTTGGAGCCCCTCCTAGGGCACCCCCACGATGTGGGATCCCCATTAGGGTTCCATGCCTGAGTCTGGCTCTTCTTGGGATGGTCTCACTCCTCCACCCCCCCCTCCAGGACTTGGGGTGTCCGTGGTGGGGTGGGACCAAGGCTGCTGCCCCCCAGACCCCAAGGCTGTCCCCAGGCCCCCCCAGACCCCTCCTTTCCCTCCCAGATCACGGAGACCACCCTGGAGGTGACGCAGAGCACAAAGGACCTGGACGTGGCACGAGGCACTGTTGGGGCCCTGCGTCGCTCACTGCAAACCCTCGAGATCGACCTTGAGGCCCTGCGCAACCAGGTACCCCAAAATTCCCCAAACTCCCCCAGAAACCCCCCCATATCCCTCAATTCACAGCCTCACATTCCCAACTCCCCCTCCAAAAAACCTAGCTCCCCTTAATCCATGGCTCCAGAGCCCCAAAACCCCTCCAATCCCCAACCCATAACTCCAGCCACACAAAGGCCATTTTTGAGGTCTTGATCCCCCCCCGACCCCAAACCCTCCAAATCCCCCAGAACTCGGGGCTGGAGGTGGCACTGCCTGAGGCTGAGGCTCAGGGCAGGGTGAACCCCCACAAGACTCCCTAATCTTCCCCTGATCCCCCCAGAACACAGGTTTGGGGTCTGCATTGACCAAAGCTCAGGGTGATCCCCCAGGATTTGGGGTGAACCCCTGCAAAACCCATACATTCCCCTGAATGCGGGTCTGGAGTCACTGGCTGAGCCCAAGGTGACAGATCCTCCAATCTCCCCATTTTAGGGGTTCTGGCTCCCCCCAAAACCCCCAATTCTGCCACGAACACCCCATAACACAGATTTAGAGGCTGCCATGATCGAGGCTCAGATCAAAGTGAACCCCCCCAAAAGCACATTAACCCCCAATCCCTGCAGAACATGGGTCTGGAGGCGNGGAGAAAAAAGAAGGGAAAGGGGGCAAAAAGGGGGAGAAAGGACAGAGCAGCATAAAATTTGGCATAAGTGGGGGAAAATGGGGAAAAATTGGGCAGGAATGGGGCAAAACGAAGGGAATGGAAGGGGAAGGATTGGGGCAAAGCAGAGGAAAACGTGGGTGAAAAGGAAAATGGGAGAAAAAGGGGAAGGACGAAATGGGCAGAAACGGCTAAAAAAATGGGGGGAAACCAGCAAAACTGGACAGAGATGGGGCAAAATCGGGCAAAAAGGGGTAAGTGGGACATGAATGGGATAAAACAGGGCAAGATCATGCAAAAAGGGTTAAAGTGGAACAAGAATGGGCTAAAATTACAAAATAGGGCAAAAAATAGTAAAATGGGACAGGAATGGGGTAAAACAGCAAAATGAGGCAGAACAGCAAAATGGGAAGGTTTTGCATAAATGGAGTAAAATGGAGGAAAAGACAGGAATGGAGGAAATGGGGGAAATGAGAAATGGGCAAAAATGGGACAAAAATGATATAAAGAAAGGCAGGGGTGGCTCAAAAGTGGGCAAAAATTAGTGAATGGGATATGAACAGGACAAAATAGGACAAAATGGGGCAAAATGGGGAAAACTGAGCAAAACAGGACAGGAATAGGGTAAAAGAGGGGGTCTCAGATCAGGCAGGGGCTGCAGCAGTGCAAAGATCAGTAGGGTGATCAGGTGGGGCTGGCTATGGTGACCCGAAAATGTGTGGGGCTGACCCTGCCCCACATCCCACAGTTCTGGGGCCAAGTCCTATTCCTTTGTCCCCCACCCCACAGTTATGGGGTCGATCCCATCATTCTGAACACACACCACGAGTTCTGGGTCAGACATCCATCCCTCCAACCCTCATCCTAACAGTTCTGATTTCTTTCCCTCTGCCCCCCACCCCACACTTCTGGGTCATACCCCTTTCCACCCACCCCGCACCCCACAAGTTTTGGGGTTGATTCCCATTCCCAGTTCTGGGTCAGACTCCCAAACCTCTGCCTCACATCCCACGAGTTTTGGGGCTGATTATTTTCCCTCACACCCCACTGCTCAGGTTTTGGGGCCAGTCCCCGCAGGAACAAAGCCCTGGGCCGGCTCCAGCCGCACCTTCCCTTCCCGGGAGCGAGGCCGTGGGGAGGTGCCGTGGGGCCGCTCCCGGCTATAAANGTACCGGGAGTTCGGGGGGAGAGGTGGGATCAGGTTCCCCCCCCTCCATTTGCCCCCGGGGGCTTCACCGGGACCCCCTTCCCAGGCCCGCCGTGCCCTTGAGGCTCCTTGGGGTCAGTTATGGGGGAGGCGGGGCAGGATGTGACCCCTCCCAGCCTCTCCAGGGGTCGGTCCCGCCGTGGGGGGGCACACCAGACACCCCCCAGTTCCAGCCCGGCTCTCCCCTCCATTCCCAATCCCGCAGCATCTCCCGGGATCCCCGGCTCTGCTTGGAGTGGGAGGTGCGTCCCGGTACCGGGGTGAGCACGGGGCGTTGGAAGGAGCCCCCACCCCGCCTGGATCCATCCCTGTCCCGCCTTTCCCTGGGCCTCGGGTGCTGACCGCATTCCCAGCCCTGTCCCAGGCTGGTTTCCTGCGGGAGGTCGGGTCACCCTGGGGCAGCTCTGAGCCGCTCCTGCATCCCAGGCTGGGATTCTCTGAAATCCACAGTGGGGAGGGAATGATGGACTGGGAGGAGATGGAGCCATCCCAGGGGTCTCACACACCACCATCCTCTCCCAGTTCCCTTGGGGAAACACTGCTGGTGGTGGTGCTCTCCATGCTGGATTTCCATGGAATAACACATTTCCAGGCCATTCTATGAGCAATCCGACCTCCATCCTTTTTATCCTCGTTAAAGCCCTTTGGTTGATTAATTAATTATTGTTATCGCTGGTCAGGGATATCTGACTGGAAGCTCTGGCCATCCAAAAATTCATGATCTCTCCTTTAAAAAAAAAGAGGGGAATGTTTTTCCAAGCTTTTCTCTTTCATGTCCTTGAAACTCATCAGTTTTGCTTCCCCTGGGACCCCTATTGACCTCCCCAAAACCTGATGGGGGAGCGAGGTGACTCCACCATTTCTCTGGGGCTCCAACCCCCCTGGCTCCACCCAGAGGGATTTTTCCTGGCAAATGCAGCAATTTTTGCCAGGAAAGGTCCCAGATCCAGCGGCAGAGCCACATGATGGCAGCAGTTCCTCCCAGAGGGAGGGAATTGTGAATCCAAAGCCACCTTCCAGGAAATGCCCCGGTTTTCCAGGAGGGTCACAGCTTGTGCCTGGGTGTGTCCCCACAGGGGGTGGGATGGGGACAATGTTTCCAGTGGTAATAACAAATAAAGGGGCTGGGGGGTGGCTCCTGGGTCCTCCTGTGTCCCCTCCCAGTGACTCCTGTCCAATTGTGGTGTCTCATGTCCAGCTCTTCGTATCCCATCCCATGTCCCATCTTGTGTTCGATCCTGTCACTTCTGTCCCCTCTTGGCTGCTCCTGTGCCGCCTCCTGTCCCATCCCAGTTCCTCATATCCCATCCTGGTGCCTCACATCCGTCCCTGGTTCCTTCTGTCCTGTCCTGGTGGCTCTTGTCCCACCCTGATGCCCTCATGGCCCATCCCAGCACCTCATGTCTCTCAGTGCCATATTCCATGCAAGTGCCTGTGTCAGTACCTCATGTCCCATTTGTGTCCCATCCTGGTGCCTTATGTCCCATCCCACTGGCTGCTGTCACATCTTGGTGGCTTCTGTCCTCTCTCAACTCCTTGTGTCCTATCCTGACACCTCCTGTCTCCTCGTGACTCCTCCTGTCCCCTCCCAGTGGCTGCTGTCCCATCCTGGTGCTCTGTGTTCCATCCTAGCACTTCCTATCTCATCCTGGTGCCTTGTGTCCCATTTCATGTTCCCTCCTGGCACCTCATGTCCCATCCCAGTGGCTCCTGTCCTGTTCCAGCTCATCCCATCCCATCCTCATCAACCCATGTCCCCATCTGTCACCTTGTGTCCCATCCCAGGGCCTCCTGTCCCATCCTGGTGCTTCATGTCCTCCTGTACTGTTTCCTCCTGGCTCCTGCTGTCCTGTCTCATGTCCCTTCCCAGTGGCTCCTGTCCCATCCCAGCTCCTCCCATTCCATCCCAATGTCCCGTGTCCCATCCTGTCACCTTGTGCTCCATCCCAAGGCCTCATGTCCCACTCTGGTGTCTTCTGTCCCATCCCATTGTCTCGTATATCCTGGTGCCTTGTGTTCCATGTCAGCTTCTCGTGTCCCATCCCAGTGTCCCGTGTCCCATTCTGGTGTCCCCAGTCCCATCCCAGTGTCCCCAGTCCCATCCCAGTGTCTCGTGTCCTACATCCTGGTGCCTCACGTTCCATGTCAGCTCCTCGTGTCCCATATCCCATCTCTGTGCCCCATGTCCCACCCTGCTGTCCCCAGTCCCCTCTGCCCCCTCTGTTCCTGTCCCTGCTCTCATTCCACCTATTCCCATTCTCCTTCCCTCCCATTCCCACTCTTTTTCTACCCATTCCTGCTCTCATTCCCTTCTGTCCCAGCTCTCATTCCCACACATTTCTGCTCCCATTCCCGCTCTGATTCCATTCTCATTCCCTCTCTGTCCTGCCATCCCCATTCCCACCATTTCCATTCTCATTCCCTCTCTGTCCTGCCATCCCCATTCCCACCATTTCCATTCTCATTCCCTCTCTGTCCTGCCATCCCCATTGCCACCATTTCCATTCTCATTCCCTCTCTGTCCTGCCCATCCCCATTCTCATTCCCACCATTTCCATTCTCATTCCCACTGTCATTCCCACCCTTTCCCCGTTCAGTTCCCCCCTTCCCCACTCGGGTTCCCGCTCTGATCCGTGTCTCCGCTCGCTCCCGCAGCGGCAGCGAAGAAGAAGCCAAAGAAGGGGAAGACGCTGACGCTGACGGATTTCCTGGCTGAGGATGGGGGGGGCGGGGGGGGCCCCACCTACATCCCCAAACCTGTGAGCTGGGCCGACGAGACCGACGACCTGGAAGGTGAGCGTGGCATTCCTGCAGCCAGGAGGGCATTCCCAGCCCTGGGGTTGGCATTCCCAGCCCCCAGTGCCAGGATGGCATTCCTGGAGCCAGGATGGCATTCCCAGC